TAGAGATATAATCCGAAAAAATGCTATGAGAAATGTGTTATTATTTTGGAACGTGCGGTCGCAAGGCTGAGTTTGAATTTTAAATTTTAAGGTTGTGCGTTTTTGTACAAATATAGTAATAAGAGAATTCTTTTGTACTGGTAGATTTTCCGTCAATGTGGCATGAACTATATTGTTCAATAATTACAGGAATGTCACACTTATTATCCGAATCAGTTATTTTAATTTCGATTATAGGTGCAGTTCAATTTATAATTACACGAAACATTTATACAAAAAACAAATATAGAGGTTAATGATTTAAATGGCGAGAATACATCTTCGCAAACAATTTCAATAAGGTAACCCCGAACCTGTATATGAATGATAAGATCTCTGTTTATAAATTCCAGGTGCATATATATATATATATATATATATATATATATATATATATATATATATATCAACTGTAAATTTGTCCGTCACTTCTTCCGAAGAAGAAACTCCCGTATGGCTGCTTTATAAACAACTTTAATTTTAACCCCTTCATTATTATCTATCCTCTATATCCTCATTATCTTCAATTTCTCCCCCCCCCCACTGTTCAAATCATGCAGAAAACACCGGCTCCCGTTCGATCACTGAAGTTAAGCAGTATCCAACCCGGTCAGTCCTTGGATGTGGGGCCCACTTGTGGACACCGTGTACTTGTACAATCCAAAATGCGTTTCGGCTTTAAATAACTCACGAAGGGTTGATAAACCGTAAAAAAAACCCAAATCATTTAGTCAGTCCTGTTATATCCATATCACTAATATTCAGTCGATGAACATTATATTTGGGTATTCGTCTTTCTATATATGTGCGTTGATTTGTGTACGCGGAAGAAGGTTGGCGAAATCGGGTGCTTGACCTTCTCGTGTACTCATTTTGTGTATCCGATCGGAGTGTGTACATCTATTAGCCAATAAACAAACATGTCTGCTACTTTACCGTCCAACCGACATGACCAGCCCACTCACTAACCCCGTCATCCAATCGCGAGAGGCTCCATTACCTTATTGACAATACTGGATTCTGTATACTTTAAGCTTGCTCCCTACCACACTTTATCGTCTCACTTGCATTTAAGAGGTTTCATTCTACAGAACCAGGAAATGGTAGACTTAAATCGACTTTCTTACACCAAGAAAACGGACATGTTGACGCTATGTAGCCATTTGTAGTTTATCTACGGCGAATTTATTCGAAAGGCAGGGTGGCTTAAATCAGCTGTTACCATATTGGAAAACTTAAGATTCGTACTTATTTTTCTGTTTCTTTTTCCCTCTCTCTGTGTAACACACACACACACACACACACACACATTACTCACCATTCATTCATATCTTGCGTGCTTTGGGCATTTTGACGTGGTGTAATGGTTAACAAGCTTGTCTCACTAGAACAATTACGATTGAGTAGTGAGTGCGGTCCTCATTGAGTTCAGCCTTGTGCCACATCTAAGCAACCCTTAAAATCACCATATTTTGTGTGCTTTTTTGTTTGTCAGTTATACCGTAACACACCCAGACACACTACGCAAAACATCAAACAAAAAACAAAAACAAAAATAAAAATAAAATGCATAAAGTAAATAAAAAGAACAAAAAATTAAAACAATAACAGAAAAACAAACAAACGAAAAAAATTTGGAGCATTTTTATTTAGTTTGACTGACATGCATTCATATCTTGTGTGGTTTAGTTTGTCGGATATTGGCCCGTAACCTTGTTAGTTACCTACCATAACGGGAACTAGAGAACAAGTAATACAGTAATAAAAAGTACATGTATTGGATACAGTTTATTCACTTTGATTGGTGCTGTCATACATAGAAAAGGTCTGTATGAATGCCATCATTTTCGTGGAAGCTGTGTTTTGTTTATTGTTGCAAAGGCTCTCCGAACACACAGAGCTTTGGAATAGTAAATTATATTGTCTTAGGGTGACAAGACTTTCGGACCATCCTACACAAACATCCCAGTTGCATAAAGACAAACAAACAAACAAGCAAAAAAACAAAACTAAAAAGTAAAAAAAAAGTGAATAACAAAAACACAAAATTGAAAAACAAACCAAAAAACAAAAAACAAAGAAAAAAAAAACAAACTAAAAAACAAAAATCAAACACAAAACGAAACAAAACACAAGTAAAAACGAATAATAAAAAATAGTTACCCTAAAAGCTATCTCCCAAATCTACTTAATTTATTTTAAAGCATCTATATTTATCCATTAGATCCAAAGTTTCGCGATTTTGAATTGCTTCCCGATGTTATGGGACATTACCCATAATAACATAATGGACTATTCCATACGTATGGGACCTTACCCATAATAACATAATGGACTATTCCATACTTAATAAATACTGCGCCTCAAGAGGAAGCAAGGAATTCAGAGTTCAGTCTGAAGTCTGGAGTGAGGTCCGTCAGGAGTCTGTCAGTCAGTCAGAGCGAGTCAGTCAGTCGAGTTAGAGGCAGACCGAAACAGAGTCGCGTTCAGACAATTACTACTAAACCTGATTGTTCGTACTAACACTTTTCTACGTCTCAGTATATATTCCTGTTTGTAATATATCTGTGTTATTCCATATCCGTAATCGAGTTCTTCTTTATTGGTTCTACCTTGGACTAACACCGTTGGTACAAGGAACCGGACCATAACAATATATATATAAATATATATATATATATATATATATATATGATAAAATATAGTTTTAAGTTATGCTATATTTACGGGTTAATGCGCTCGATATTGGGAATAGAGCGTACTTAAATATAAAAGTGGTCATTGAAGTAAAAATCCCGAGGCGTCAATCGCAATCGTCATGTCTGTTGACCTCAATGTCCACTTTTATCGCGTTTACGAGGGCAACTACCAGGTCTCTTTTGAAGACACCCGCTCAGTCGAATTTGTTTGTTTTATGGATGTTATGGCTATTAGTGCTGGGTTGATTCTTTCACCTAAACACCCAAAAACTTGTTGAATTGCCTTCGTCGCTGAAATAAATAGACAAAGAAAAGACAGAAGGATACGGAGACACTAGAGGGACAGTTTAGGACACTGATTTTATTTCCTTCTTTTGGATTCCAACGACCTCCTGTTGGGGAATTTCCTTCCCGAACAGTTGGCACGTGTTCACCAGTCAAAGGTCCAACACAGAAAGAGCTAGATTCTTCTAGTTTATTTTTGGCGCCAGGAAATCTCTCTTTTTGCACATGCGTAAATTATCTTTCCTGTCAGAGGACTCCTGGGAGATTTTTATGTTTATTTTATTTTGTACTTTTATTTAATTTTGTATTTTATTTCGTGTTTTTATTTCATCCCCACAGTTTATCACCCACAGGGCCCACCTGTGGGTGATACTGCAACTATGCTGTGCAGACGTTAGTTACAATTTCCATGAGAGAGCGTGTTATATAGCGTGATAAACAATCTGAACAAGGCCAGCACGCTCAAACCCTCAGTCACGCTGACTTGTGACTTCGTGCTAGGACAACCATCGACGGCCCCCAAAGGGGTCTGTCTACACAATTTCACAAGGTTTGGGTCAACCTGTGGTGTGGTTTTCCAGATTTTCCCGACCGATAACATCAAGAAGACTCCTTCCTGACAAATTGACCATGGTGAGATTCGAAACCGGCTCTCATGGCCAGAAATCAAACGTTCTAAAAAGTAATCATATATATATATATATATATATATATATATATATATATATATATATATATATATTACAATAAAAACATTTTACATCGCTACAAAAAACTTTCATGTTTCAGTACTAAAATGGTACTTCTTCAGACGATGGTAGATAACTTGTGCTAAAAATGATTTATTAGAAATTTAAAATAAATCTTTTTAGCATCTTTGTAAGTTAAACTTGCAAAGAAGTAATTTATTTATCTTAATACTGAAACATGAAAGTTTTTGTGTAGCGATGTAAAATGTTTTTTATTGTAATTTATTATAATAAAAATATAATATTTTGCTCTACTTATATTGAGCACTTTTTAAAAAATAAATGCTATGAACTGTGGATTTTTACTTCATCTGTTCTTTCTCTCATTTGTATATATATATATATATATATATATATATATATATATATATATATATATTTGCATGGACGAAGTTGATCGTTAAAATTTTTTGCTGTTTTAGGGCAATTTCTTAAACTGGTTGTTAAGATTATGAAACGCCTCTGAGGGATAATGAATTTTTGGCAAAACTCACACACAGACCAGAGTACAAAAAAGGCAACCAGGAAAAAAACATCATATGGTTTAACATACAGCAAAGGCGTAAAAACAAACACAGGAAAAATACTCATTAATTCAGGACAATATATCTGTATATACTGAAAATTTCGTGGCCCAATCCGCTTCCAAAAAACTTGATCGAATATCAGAATTTGATTTAGAATCGCATATTGGTTGGGTTGTGTACTTATCAGTACTAGAATGTTTGTCTGAAATACAATCAAATGATGAAAGAATCGTTAAGAGAGAGGAGACAGAGTTAGACAGAAAGATGAGAATAGATATATAGATAGATAGATTGAGAGAGAGAGAGAGAGAGAGAGATTGAGCGAGAGAGGAGGAGAGATATAGGGTAAGTGAGGAGGAGAAAGGCAAGTAAATTGGTAAGTTGATATATTTTGTGATTTATTTGCCTTGTGGTTCAGGTTATTTTTAAGTACCATCGACAATCAAGCGTTTTCTCATCCTCACCGAAGGGGATGTTTTGCAAAGGTGTGTGTGCGTGGGGGGGATTTCGTTTTTGCTTACAAGCTTCGGGGCGTGTTTGAAACTCTTTCAGCAATTAAAAAAATTATTCAATTTAATAATATCACTTTAAGGTTCTTTTTTTTTTCAGGACGTGGGCGAATATGGCTCTCGACAACTTCTGCCATCCATTTACACATGCTCGTTAGGTAGGTTACTCACAGTTTCCCTCACGCCGTTCGGTCAATAGAAGAAGAAGACGACGACGACGAAGAAGAAGAAGAAGAAGGGGGAGGAGGAGGAGGATAAAAAGAAGATGAAGGTGGAGAGGCAGAAGAATATGGGGGTAGAAGCAGAACAACAAAGAGAAGAAGAAAAAGAAGAAGCAGGAATAAAAAGAAGAGGGAGGTGGAGAGGCAGAAGAAGTAGAAGCAGAACACCAAAGAGAAAAAGAAGAAGAAAAAAGAAGAAGAAGAAAAAGAAAGAAGAAGAAGAAGAAGAAGAAGAAGAAGAAGGATTAGGAGGAGGAGAAGAAGAAGAAGAAGGAATAGGAGAAGAAGAAGAAGCAAGATGAAAAGAAGAGGGATGTAGAGAGGCAGAAGAAGTAGAAGAATATGAGGTAGGAGCAGAACAACAAAGAGAAGAAGAAGAAGAAGAAGAAGAAGAAGAAGAAGAAGAAGAAGAAGAAGAAGAAGAACCTCCATATGAGATAATTAAATTGAACTATTTGTTAGGTAGGCTATATACTGTCTTCCCACTTGCCTGTTATCCTGTGACACTTCAGGACCTTGGTGACCAAGCCTCTACTCTGTTTACGGTCCTTAGTAGCTTTTAAAAAATTTTGTCTTTTTTTTTATCTCTCCTAAACCTTGGACTGCCATCCTTTTACTCAAAATTTATAGGAAGGTTATGCGTTTTTCTCTGTGCCCCTGACCTTCAATATTTTCCGTGAATATCAAATTTGCCATGCCCTTTGTCCTTGTGATGTAAGCTAGAAATATCAGCTGGCTCTTATAAGTGTCTTTTTTGTCTTCATCTTCTCTAATTTTTGTTGTTTTTACATGTTCGGTTCATGGTATTCTCAGCATCCTTCTGTAGAACCATATCTCTGTCACTTCAAGGAGATTAGATATTACATATCTGTTCACAACACTTTCATTTGATTCTACTGACACTCGCTAGTAGAAACACATCTCCAATACTCTTTTCTTTTTTTCTAAGGACACTCGTCAGTAGAACCGCATCTTTTTCGCTTCAAGTCTCTTCTTCATCTGTGAGGAGATTGTCCAGCATCCACTGCCATATAGGAGATTAGATATTACATAGCCGTGCAACACTCTTTTCTTTGTTTCTAAGGACATTCGTCAGTAGAACAACATCTCTGTCGCTTCAAGTCTCTTCTTCATCAATGAGGAGATTGTCCAGCATTCACTGCCATATAGGTGATTAGATATTACATAGCCGTGCAACACTCTTTTCTTTGTTTCTAAGGACATTCGTCAGTAGAACCACATCTCTGTCGCTTCAAGTCTCTTCTTCATCTGTGAGGAGATTGTCCAACATTCACTGCCATATAGGAGATTAGATATTACATAGCCGTCCAACACTCTTTTCTTTGTTTCTAAGGACATTCGTCAGTAGTACCACATCTCTGTCGCTTCAAGTCTCTTCTTCATCTGTGAGGAGATTGTCCATCATTCACTGCCATATAGGAGATTAGATATTACATAGCCGTTCAACACTCTTTTCTTTGTTTCTAAGGACACTTGTCAGTAGAACCACATCTCTGTCGCTTCAAGTCTTTTCTTCATCTGTGAATAGATCGTTCAGCATTTACTGCCATACAGGAGGGATGATATTACATAACAGTTCAGTATTCACTCTTTGTTACTAACGATATTTTCCTGTTTCTTAATATATTGCTTAGCTTCTGGAAAGCACCTTTTGCTATCCCAATGCGCTTTTGGTTTGCGGCATCGCATTTCCCCTCCTCTGTTGTAACGTATATACCTTTAGAAATAAATTAGAAATATTACAAATTACAGAAAAATGACTTCAGAGCTATCTGATCTGGTTGACACAAACCCATTGCACGTGGTCTTCGCTTTAAAATGGCGGTCGGACACAATTTCTTACTTATCAGTTAGCCCGTTTAACTAATATATATTTGAAATAGAATTCCTAGCGAGTAGCTTCTTTATTGTGTTTAATGATAAGGTACAGATCTCTTTAACTTGATTTTAACAATTTCGTCAGACACGACAGTGTTTCGAATCCAGGTAACTTCATTTACTTAAGCGCTTCTTTGAAGAAGATTGTCGGCATTCAAACAAGCATCAAACGTCTCATCATTTGTGATCGCATGAGTGTATCTCCTAAGCACATAGAGGATTTTTTGAATTAGGTTACCAGCTTCGGTCTACTCGGATTTCTCCCACAGATATAACTAATCTGTCTAAATAAAAGACCGTTTTAATCAGGTGGCTTGTCTATTTATCGGATAGCGCCAAGTACCCCCTAAACCGTTGAAATCTTGGGTGTGGTTTAGTGATTAGAGTTAGCTGAGAATTTTGAGATTCCTTAGCTGGTGCTATGTCAATAACACTTGTTTTCAATCACTTAGAACAAAGAAGAATAAAGTTACTTAAATCCACAACATATATCTCTGGTAAATGAAAAGATGAAAGGAAATCCTCATAGATTATTTCTCGTGTTTGCTCTTAAAGATAAAACTCTTCTTTGAAAAGTGGACCATTCTTAACGTTTTATGATAGACAAGATATAAAGTAAAATCTAACGAGATATTCAAGCAGAATAAAGTCGTGGAGAGCCAGAATCCTCTACGGCTTGAAGGAACACATTACATAGAAAAACATTTACGACTATACCGAGTGTGCAAAATTGTCCAAATCGTGTAACAACACGCGATAATTGTCCATCCCATAAATTGTTTAATATCTAATGAAAAAAAGAACACTAAACTAAATGAGCTTTTTTTTCAGTTTTTCAGCTAAGATGTTTAGCCGTATTAATTATAATAATATATAGTATAACCAATTTAATTTAGTATTATTCTTTTCTGTTTGTATATATAAAGAGTATATATCTATATCTATATATATATATATATATATATATATATATATATATATATATATATACACATATATATATATATGTTTATATATATATATATATGTAAATGTGTATATATATATATATATATATATATATATTATGTATGCGCGGTACTTATAGGAAAGCGTTCAATATCAATGATAGAATGAACATATTTAGTTGGATAGATGTGAGTTCGTGACCCTGAGTTTGACGCTTGCAACGTGGCCTGACGATTGCATTTAGAATGAAACAGACGTCGCCTCTAAGTGTTGACTTCTATGTTCACTTATATATATATATATATATATATATATATATATATATATATATATATATTGCAAGGAAATAGATACAAATTATTTCCTAAAGGCATTATGAAAATAAAAAATAAGAGATGATAACACTTACAGAACAGACCAACCGGTTTCGTTCCCAAGCTCATCAGGGTCGACTGGGAACAATTTAACAATTATCGCAATATATATTAATTCACACAAACACCCTACATACAATTAAAACATTAAAAAAGTGAAATGATTAATGGTATGAGGGAAAAAAAGTATATTTCAAACCGCGCGAATATGCATAGCACAAAGGGAAAAAAATTGGGAGTGTGAGGGGAATGTATGATAAACACTAGAGTCTAATATCGTGAAGCCCAAGGAGACAGTCTTTTTCCTTGCAAAGAGACGGCTCCCTGGACCGAATATACAGAGACTCAAGTGCCTTCAAATGAAATGGAGAGTGCGAACTGGACAGTACAGTAAACCAATTCGGACTGAAGTTCTTCGCACAATCCCTGCAATTTATTAAATGTTCAGTGATCGCTGACCCGGAAGTATTAACCAACTGGCTCTTACGGGCATCCGGATTAAGTACTCGCAATGGGACATGCTGCCTGATCCTACAATCTAAACGTTGGGAAGTCCTTCCTATGTAGTTGCTACCGCAACCACATTTAAAAGAAGAAATTACGAAAGAAACATGCTGGGAGGAAGAGGATTCTTACGGATAGAGGAAAAGGCAGAACGAGTCGCAAAATGAATCCTTAGTTGAGCAGCAAAATAGCAGTGATGGACAGCAGACAAGACCCGCCTAGCCACAAGCTCGCCCCGGGAACAAATAAAGGGAAGCCGCAAGTAAATAGGACATTTCTGAACTAAGTATTGTTTTTCCTTTCGAAAATTAATAATTTTATCACGCATGACACTGTCAAGAGTATCACTAGGATATTCCTTTTTTAAAAGAGTGCAGCGGATAAAATCCAATTCTTCATCCAAATAGTGTTCACTGCAAATCATCAAGACCCTATGAGTTAAGGTCTTGATGAGATTGATTTTACGTTTTCTGGGACAAAATGAGACCCAACGCGTATACAAACCAGAAAACGTTGGTTTGCGAAACACCGAAGTAAGAAATTGAGAAGGAGTCCGATGCACAAGGACATCAAGAAAAGAGAGACAAGAATTAGACTCCTTTTCGATGGTAAATTTCAAAGATGGATGAAGTTGGTTCATAACTGTGAGAAAGGAATCAGCTTCCACTTCACTATTAAAAAGACAAAATGTATCGTCCACATACCGACGGTACAGAGACGGTGCATTGTCATAAGTGAGGAGGGACGACTCATAAAAGCCCACAAAAATGTTGGCCAAAGCGGGACCCAAAGGAGAGCCCATAGCAACCCCATCAATCTGTCTGTACATAAAATTGTTAAAGCTAAACTCCACAGACATGGTAGCGAATTGCTTAAGCTCAACAAACACATTTTCTGGGATATCCGGAGGTGACAAACTACTTCGATATAACATGTTACAACAAATATCAATAGTTTCCATTACTGGAACAGAAGTAAACAGAGAACATACGTCAAAGGAACACATAAATCTATTTTTAGAAGGAGTATCACGAATAACCTGAATAAACGAAAAAGAATCTTTAATAGTATACGAGCTAAAATGTTCAACAACAGGTTCAAGAAGGTTTGAAAGAAAACTCGCAACCTTATGTTGAGACGAGCCTGACACGGACAGGATGGGTCGAAGGGGTACATCATCCTTATTAGTCTTCGGAAGACCATACAGACGAGGACGAATAGACCCAACAGGTCTAATATCATCAGTGACCTCACGGGATATGAAACCACGTTTAGCCCAAGATAAGTGTTTCTTTTGAAATTTAATTTCTAAAGGAATTGTGCGATCATGTGTCTCTACTGGACCAAGAGGAAGAAATTTTGTAGTGCCACCAAGAATGCTTTGCATTTTAGAGACATAATCAGAATGGTCCAATAGGACAATACCAACCCCTTTATCAGGACGAGTAATAACCAAGTTATTATTTGCTTTTAAAGTCCTGACTACGGACCGGTGCTGTTGACTCCAATTAGACTCAGAAAGGGCTACAGGAGTTAAAGCATAAGTATGTGCCAAAGTCATTATAATAATTTGGCACATTTGAAAAAATATATATATAAGTTTCGTTAAAAACGACTGACAAGGTTTGATTTGTCTATGAGCCTCGCAGTGGACGACCACAGGTCTTGAATGACGGAGTCCTGAAGGCGGCCATTGAAGAAGACAGTAGTCTAACGTGTGGTGAACTTGCAAGACAGTTCAACGTTTCCGATGAAACAGTTTGACTTCACTTACACCGCCTAGGTAAGACGCACAAACTGAGCAAGTGGGTTTCGCAAACGCTGTTGGAGGTCCACAAAGGACAACGACTGGCAGCCTGTGTATCGCTGCTTTCTCGCCACCGTACCGCATCCTTATTCAATCGAGTGCTTACCAGTGATGAAAAGTGGGTTCTGTACGAAACTCCTAAGCGTTCCAGACATTGGTTGTCTCCTCAGGATGCGGTCCATCACACCGCAAGATCGCCTATGCACCCACGCAAGATTATGCTTTGTGTCTGGTGGACAGGTCGTCAAGTGGTTCATTATGAACTGCTACCAACGGGCCAAACAATCACTGGAGACCTATACTCGCAGAAATTGAAACGTGTGCAACAGGCATTGCGCCAGAAGGATCCAGCACTGGTGAATCGCAAAGGTGTGCTTTTCCTCCATGACAACACCAGGCCGCATGTCGCACGAGTGGTCAGGGATACCATACAGCAACTTGGGTGGGAGACTTTGTGCCATCCACCTTATTCATCTGACCTTGCGCCATCCGATTACCACCTCTTCCACTCCCTGGATAATCATCTTCGTGGGAAATCCTTTACCAATGAAGCAGACTTGCGCAAAGCCCTCACGGACTTCTTTGCGTCAACCCCCCCCCGAGTTCCACCAGTGCTGGCTCCTTCTGGCGCAAGACCATTGAACAACTGGAGACACGTTGGCAGAAGGTGCTCGATGCCGATGGCGATTACTTCGAAGACTAAATATAAGTTACACATACTGTGAAGCGTTTTCTTTTTTTCCTTTAAAAATGGACAGAAAATTTTGGTTACCTTATATATATATATATATATATATATATATATATATATATATATATACATATATATGTATATGGGGTGGTCTGAAAGTCTTGTCATCCACTATCAAAAAGTAATGGGAACAATAGAAGAACAAGTAATACAGTAATAAAAAGTACATGTATTGGATCCAGTTTATTCACTTTGATTGGTGCTGTCACACATCGAGTAGGTCTGTATGAATGCCATCATTTTCGTGGAATCTGTGCTATGTTTATTGTTGCAAAGGCTCTCCGAATGGTGTCCTTCAACTGATGGCATCGTTCACGTGAAATTCTCTCCTTGATGATAACTCCACAGAGAGTTGAAATAGAAAATGTACGGGTGACAAGACTTTCGGACCACGCTGTATAATTTGAACCTCATCGTAAAAAAAAAAACAAACCAAAAACTGGTAATCCACAATTGTGAACTTGTTTACGTTTCTTACGAGTAGACTATTGTCCTCATTCATGGTGTCGTCATCACATTGTATTGGTCGTTGTTCACTCACAGCAGGTGGTTGTCAATCCGATTAGACTTCAGGGAATTTTGAAGTGAACCATTTATTTAATCTACAGAGGTAGACTGTTCTCGTTCCATTGCCCATGTATCGGGAAATCTTATTTCTTAGTTCTTATTTAGTACTGCTCAGTTACTGCTCGCCCTGAGTCAAGTACAAGCTGCTCAGTCAAGTGTTCAACTCGCAGTCACGATGATACGGTTTGGAGAACTTGAAGACTTAAACCTAACCTGACCGCTGATTATTTCTGCTATACTGCCATTGCTGCTACTACTACTGCTGATAATTGTTGCGTTTGACTATGCTCACCGAATTTCTCTTTTTACTGTAACCGCAGCTGCTGTTGGAGACTTTGCTGTCACATCTTTTTATTTATAAACGGCATAGTTTTTATTTCTATGAGAAAGATTTATGATAAAGCGGAAAAAGTTTTCGTCTGACGCATCGCGTCCTTTAGAAATTCAGCGGGCTTTGCTTTTGCTTACGTTCATGCTGCTAAACTTACAAGAGAGAGAGAGAGAGAGAGAGAGAGAGAGAGAGAGAGAGAGAGAGAGGCGCGCTTAGAATATTAAAATTTAAAGTAATAATTTCTTTTTTTAAATATGCGTTTTCGAAATTTAATCATGCCAATTTAATATGAAATTGGCTTGATTATATTTCGAAAACGCATATCTAAAAAAAATTACTTTAACCCATTAAAAAATTATTACTTTTACCATTAAAAAAATTATTACTTTTACCCATTAAAAAAATATACCGATTGAATAGAATTTTATTATAAACAATTGTCTTGTAAATGGAATTTTTAAAGCTTTCTGAATGTAAAAATAAAGAAAAAAGTGTGCAAGACAATAAGAAACACTACCTGCCAAAAAAAAGTTTTGTTGAAATCGGTTGAAAAATGTAGGAAATCCGATCCCATATATAAACGAACACACACACAAACAACCTGGGTTTTATAATAAGTATAACTCGATATGAGTTGTCCTCCCTTTCATTCTGGCGACAGAATCGTGTTTTCAAATTGATTTCGTGCAAAAACAATTGTGTTTTCCAATTTTAGGCGCTGTCAGAACCACCGCAAGGTAATTTTACGCAGTCCTGTGAAGTTTTGTTGAAATCGGTTGAAAAATGTAGGAAATCCGATCCAATATATAAACGTACACACACACACACACACACACACACACACACACACACACACACACACACACAATCTGCATTTTATAATAAGTAAGATATGAATAATTAATCTTAGTACTTTTCCCCCTAAGCTGTCGTTTCTCGTGACTAAAGAAGAAGGAAAATGAGTGACTTTTTAAAAAGACGTTAACATTTATTCCAGTATCTTTTCTTTACTCTCAGTCCGAGTCGAAAGTTGTTAATATACACGCATAACATTCTTTCGCTTTTTGATGAAACCTTAAATGGCGAAATGCATTTTCGAATATATTTCTAAACAAATCGACTTTCATGAACGTTTCCATTTGTCAAAAGTTAAAAACTTGTTCGGGATTATGCACCCTTGTGCAAATTAATTATTCAGGAAGATGTGGAGGGCCATGATCACCTACACCCTTGTGCAAATTAATTATACAGGAAGATGTGGAGGGCCATGATCACCTACATCCTTGTGCAAATTAATTATTCAGGAAGATGTGGAGGGCCATGATCACCTACACCCTTGTGCAAATTAATTGAAACAAAACGAATAATTCTGTTATTATTTACTTTTTTTCGTTTTTTTTTTTTTTTCCCAATGAAACATGACCCAGTGCACATGTTAATACTTCATATGTCCATTTCATGTTCCTTTCAGACTGACCATAGATTCTTGATTGGATTTATATCAGGAGAGTTTCCGGGCCAATCTACAGTACTTTGATTTGCTCACTGGTAAGGTTTGCCAGTGTGTTCTTAAAGGCTTACAATTTTCGTACGCTTTCTTCGAGTAACGTCTATCGCAGACAATCGACAGTCGAGACAACAGTGTTTAATAAAGATGCGAACTGATTTTTCTTGCATTCGTCTTGTTGAATTTTCGAATTTTAGACAAAGACCATCAGTAAATACGAATGTCTACAGAACGGGCTTATTATTTACGAAATGATGGAACAATCGGATTTATAGAACAAGGTTCTATCAATTCATTCTTTAAATCGAGGTTTTGCTGTACTTTAAATAACAGACATATTTCTCACAGCCTTTTTCTTAATTAACCGACATGCAGACTTTCGGCGGAGAATGGAATTTTAATTGGCCTAGTATGCGAGAGTTTGCAATGTTTCCTCGGGATATGATTAGCATTGTAAATGATCCAAAAAGAACCATTTTCAAATTTTATACCATTTTTCCTCAGAGTGGAACCTCTGCCATTTTTACAATTCCCTGTGTACAGTAGAATCCCTGAAAACCGAACTAAGAAAGCCTTTCCGATATGAGGAATTGGTTACAAAGTCCGGATATGAGAGGTTATATTTAGATTAAAATAAAAAAAGAACTGAAATCAGGTTTAACATTTATATTCAATGTTTTATAGTAAACAAAATAAGTTAATGGTGAGTGAAATATAACGGAATTGATTTTAAGGGAAAAAGAAATAAATTATGTTAATGAAAATTCATTAAATTAAGTATGCCACGTATGCAAAACAAATAATGTAACGAGGATTTTTTAATCGCTGTTGCATGATGATTCTTTCTCTTCTAATGTTATTCACAACGTTTTCCTCATTTCATTTTGCTTTTGTTCTTGACAATTTTAATTCGAGCGTGCGTTATTGCAATCATTATAACTGAATGCTGGCTTTCTTTCCATAAAACTGACAACCTTTTCAATAGATTTTTCAATTTCAGTCCAGATTTCATCACAATTATGCATCTCATCACTATTTTGTTGCAGATGTGTCTCCTTGTCATCCTTTCCTCTTACTGCCACCATCTTTTGCACCAATAAAAGCCATTAGAGTGAAATAAGCATAAACAATTATTCAAAGTAAACTTCCTGAAAAGCAGAAATTTCAGATCAATTACATATCACCCATATCGTTCAAATATGTAAATCATGTCCGGATGTGCGGAATTCCGGATATGAGGCACTCCGGATATGTGGGATTCCGGATAAGAGGGATTATACTGCATTTTTATTCTCTATATTCAATTACGAAGCGCTTGAGTCACGTGTCTTTTCCATAGAGAGGGCCAAGACCCTTCATGCCACTCACATTCTAGAAAACGACCATCATTCCCTCCGTATTCTGTTAGTGAGAAGTAAGTTCGACTCGAAAAAGCTTCTTCTCACAAAGCAATGCTCCGTAGGACTGATTACCTGAATGATGTTTTCTCTTTCACTACAATCTTAATCCGTACAAGTCTAGGATTAGTCGTTATCTTTGCCTCCTATTCGCATAAACTGCCTTTGACTCTGAAACTCTCTACATCGAGTGGTCTCCGAGCATTGTATAGGCTGAAGACGTATATTTTTGGTTTGATTTGGTTTATTTTGTTTTACGGCATATCAACCTCAATGGCTTATTTAATGCCGACAACATTTTTAGGATAGATTCGTATGAATAGAATATGTATTCTTTGGTTTAGATTGGTTTGGTTTATTTTGTTTAACGGCATATCAACCTCAATGGGTTATTTAATGCCGACAACATTTTTAGGATAGATTCGTATGACTAGAATATGTATTCTTTGGTTTAGATTGGTTTGGTTTATTTTGTTTTACGGCATATCAACCTCAATGCATTATTTAATGCCGACAACATTTTTAGGATAGATTCGTATGAATAAAATATGTATTCTTTGGTTTAGATTGCTTTGGTTTATTTTGTTGTACGGTTTATCAACCTCAATGGCTTATTTAATGCCGACAACATTCTTAGGATAGATTCGTATGAATAGAGTATGTATTCTTTGGTTTAGATTGGATTGGTTTATTTTGTTTTACGGCATATCAACCTCAATGGCTTATTTAATGCCGGCAACATATTTAGGATAGATTCGTATGAATAGAGTATGTATTCTTTGGTTTAGATTGGTTTGGCTTATTTTGTTTTACGGCATATCAACCTCAATGGCTTATTTAATGCCGACAACATTAGTACGATAGATTCGTATGAATAGAATATGTATTCTTTGGTTTAGATTGGTTTGGTTTATTTTGTTTAACGGCATATCAACCTCAATGGGTTATTTAATGCTGACAACATTTTTAGGATAGATTCGTATGAATAGAATATGTATTCTTTGGTTTAGATTGCTTTGGTTTATTTTGTTTAAGGGCATATCAACCTCAATGGGTTATTTAATGCCGACAACATTTTTAGGATAGATTCGTATGAATAGAATATGTATTCTTTGGTTTAGATTGCTTTGGTTTATTTTGTTTTTACGGCACATCAACCTCAATGGGTTATTTAATGCCGACAACATTTTTAGGATAGATTCGTATGAATAGAATATGTATTCTTTGGTTTAGATTGGTTTGGTTTATTTTGTTTTACGGTTTATCAACCTCAATGGATTATTTAATGCCGACAACATTTTTAGGATAGATTCGTATGAATAGAATATGTATTCTTTGGTTTAGATTGGTTTGGTTTATTTTGTTTTACGGTTTATCAACCTCAATGGATTATTTAATGCCGACAACATTTTTAGGATAGATTCGTATGAATAGAATATGTATTCTTTGGTTTAGATTGGTTTGGTTTATTTTGTTTTACGGTTTATCAACCTCAATGGATTATTTAATGCCGACAACATTTTTAGGATAGATTCGTATGAATAGAATATGTATTCTTTGGTTTAGATTGGTTTGGTTTATTTTGTTTTACGGCACATCAACCTCAATGGGTTATTTAATGCCGACAACATTTTTAGGATAGATTCGTATGAATAAAATATGTATTCTTTGGTTTAGATTGCTTTGGTTTATTTTGTTTTACGGCATATCAACCTCAATGTATTATTTAATGCCGACAACATTTTTAGGATAGATTCGTATGAATAGAATATGTATTCTTTGGTTTAGATTGCTTTGGTTTATTTTGTTTTACGGCATATCAACCTCAATGGGTTATTTAATGCCGACAACATTTTTAGGATAGATTCGTATGAAAAGAATATGTATTCTTTGGTTTAGATTGGTTTGGTTTATTTTGTTTTACGGCATATCAACCTCAATGTATTATTTAATGCCGACAACATTTTTAGGATAGATTCGTATGAATAGAATGTGTATTCTTTGGTTTAGATTGCTTTGGTTTATTTTTGTTTTCTTTTGGTTTGATTGGTTTGGTTTTATCAACCTCAATGGGTTATTTAATGCAGTCAACATTTTTAGGATAGATTCGTATGAATAGAATATGTATTCTTTGGTTTAGATTGGTTTGGTTTATTTTGTTTTACGGCACATCAACCTCAATGGGTTATTTAATGCAGTCAACATTTTTAGGATAGATTCGTATGAATAGAATATGTATTCTTTGGTTTAGATTGGTTTGGTTTATTTTGTTTTACGGCACATCAACCTCAATGGGTTATTTAATGCAGTCAACATTTTTAGGATAGATTCGTATGAATAGAATATGTATTCTTTGGTTTAGATTGGTTTGGTTTATTTTGTTTTACGGCACATCAACCCTCAATGGGTTATTTAATGCAGTCAACATTTTAGGATAGATTCGTATGAATAGAATATGTATTCTTTGGTTTAGATTGGTTTGGTTTATTTTGTTTTACGGCACATCAACCTCAATGGGTTATTTAATGCAGTCAACATTTTTAGGATAGATTCGTATGAATAGAATATGTTTTCTTTGGTTTTGATTGGTTCGGTTTATTTTGTTTTATCGCATATCAACTTCAATGGGTTATTTAATGCCGACAACATTTTTAGGATAGATTCGTATGAATAGAATATGTATTCTTTGGTTTAGATTGGTTTGGTTTATTTTGTTTTACGGCACATCAACCTCAATGGGTTATTTAATGCAGTCAACATTTTAGGATAGATTCGTATGAATAGAATATGTATTCTTTGGTTTAGATTGGTTTGGTTTATTTTGTTTTACGGGCACATCAACCTCAATGGGTTATTTAATGCAGTCAACATTTTAGGATAGATTCATTATGAATAGAATATGTATTCTTTGGTTTAGATTGGTTTGGTTTATTTTGTTTTACGGCACATCAACCTCAATGGGTTATTTAATGCAGTCAACATTTTTAGGATAGATTCGTATGAATAGAATATGTATTCTTTGGTTTAGATTGGTTTGGTTTATTTTGTTTTACGGCACATCAACCTCAATGGGTTTATTTAATGCAGTCAACATTTTTAGGATAGATTCATTATGAATAGAATATGTATTCTTTGGTTTAGATTGGTTTGGTTTATTTTGTTTTACGGCACATCAACCTCAATGGGTTATTTAATGCAGTCAACATTTTTAGATAGATTCGGATAGATTCGTATGAATAGAATATGTATTCTTTGGTTTAGATTGGTTTGGTTTATTTTGTTTTGTTTTACGGGCACATCAACCTCAATGGGTTATTTAATGCAGTCAACATTTTTAGGATAGATTCGTATGAATAGAATATGTATTCTTTGGTTTAGATTGGTTTGGTTTATTTTGTTTTACGGCACATCAACCTCAATGGGTTATTTAATGCAGTCAACATTTTTAGGATAGATTCGTATGAATAGAATATGTTTTCTTTGGTTTTGATTGGTTCGGTTTATTTTGTTTTATCGCATATCAACTTCAATGGGTTATTTAATGCCGACAACATTTTTAGGATAGATTCGTATGAATAGAATATGTATTCTTTGGTTTAGATTGGTTTGGTTTATTTTTGTTTTACGGCACATCAACCTCAATGGGTTATTTAATGCAGTCAACATTTTAGGATAGATTCGTATGAATAGAATATGTATTCTTTGGTTTAGATTGGTTTGGTTTATTTTGTTTTACGGCACATCAACCTCAATGGGTTATTTAATGCAGTCAACATTTTTTTTGGATAGATTCGTATGAATAGAATATGTATTCTTTGGTTTAGATTGGTTTTATTTATTTTGTTTTACGGCACATCAACCTAATGGGTTATTTAATGCAGTCAACATTTTTAGGATAGATTCGTATGAATAGAATATGTATTCTTTGGTTTAGATTGGTTTGGTTTATTTTGTTTTACGGCACATCAACCTCAATGGGTTATTTAATGCAGTCAACATTTTTAGGATAGATTCGTATGAATAGAATATGTTTCTTTGGTTTAGATTGGTTTGGTTTATTTTGTTTTATCGCACATCAA